AATATATCTAGAAATTTCTCTGGAGCTGTTGTGGGCAGTGTGGGTTAAGTTCAGTTTCAGATAGCTCCTTGTTCCAGCTTACACTTCTCAATATCTATAGGCCCCTTCCGGTGTAGTCGGTGTTAACTACAGGGATTTTCATCTGTTGCACCTGTCACTTCTAAAGCGGTTCCCTTTGTTTATTTGGTTTCTGTTTGCAGGTCTCTTCAGTGTCTAATTTCTGCCCTGACAGGGGCGGGCAGAGGTGGTCTCTTGTTTAGGTTCGCTTGTTCAGTCGTGCTGTGGGGAGGGAGGGGCGCTGCAGACAAATGCCACTGGCCTGTGTGGGGAGCACTCACAGTGTTCCGGCCCCACTGGGCTTGACCCCGCTCATGGCATGTATGCTTTCCCCGTCTACACTGCTCAGGCTCCAGGTTGCTCTACAGGGAGCAGACCCTGAGTTGCATGCACTTCCCAGGCCTAAGCCGCTCAGGTTCAGGTTTTTGGGTACTCCACAAGGCACAGACCCGGTTGGGCCTGCGTTTTATGCCTCCCCTGTCGGAGCAGCTCAGGCAGCCACGAGCTTGACGGGCGCACTCTCCCCGGGTGCAGTGTGACTTCTCCCCTCCCCATCCCCACCTTAGTTTCCAGGCACGTAAGTCCAGTGTGCCTTGTGTCTCTTCTGGGGAGCTGATCTCTAGCTGCGACCCTCCCAGCCAATGTCAACCATCCAGAATCTCAGGAAATCTTTGGTTAGAAGCTGGAAGCCTGTTTGCAGTTTGGTAGGGGATGCCATCTCTGGGGCCAAGTTTGCCCCTTTCCCCTCCCCCCTGCCTCCTGCCTCCAGTGGGGGATGGGCCGGTCCGCACCCAACTAGCTCTTCTCTGGAATTGCTCAGTCCTTCCTTTGTTCTGCAAATGGCCAGCAGTGCCTTCTGTTAGGGCTTTTCGCCAGTTAATTCTCTCTCTCTCTTGCTATCCCACAGTTTAAGTTGCTGTCTCACATTAGCTCCCTCCAATTGCCCTCAGAGCGTTCAGGCCCGGTCCTTACCCTAAGCAATGGGGCCCGCTCCTCTCCGTTCAGCCCCCACTTGCTGGTGGCGGATGCGAGCGTCTGGGGTACTTTTCTGTTGGGAGTTGCTTTTAGGCATTTAATCTGTGGGTTTTATTTATTTTTCCTCCTGGTTAGGTTGCTCTCTGAGATTCAAAAACTTCCCCCAGACCAGCCCAGTGAGAGGGTTTCCTGGTGTTTGGAAACTTTCTCTATTAGGACTCCTTTCCCGGGACAGATCTCCGTCCCTAACTCTATTGTCTCTCTTTTTATCTTTTATATTTTGTCCTACCTCCTGTCAAAGACAATGGGCTGCTTTTCTGGGTGCCTGATGTCCTCTGCTAGTGATCAGAAGTTGTTTTGTGTAGTTTGCTCAGTGGTCAAATGATCTTTCGATGAATTTGTGGGGGAGAAAGTGGTCTCCCCGTCCTATTCCTCCACCACCTTAGCTCCTCTCTGTAATGTGATTTTAAACTTTTTACCAGATTTTAGTCATTTCATTTAAATAATTAAGATAAATCAGAGGAAAACAAGTCTGAAATAAAGATTGTAGACTTTTTAATAGAAATTTTATTTTTTAATTACTAACTCAAACAGTAGTCAACTTAGTTTATTGCCAATAGTGCAGTTCTATAAATAAACAATATTTAGAACTAATATATTCATTTTTATTTTGAATGAATGCTCCTAAATATTAAATATATTCCAAATATTGCTCTTATAAAATAAATTAACTTGCTAAACCTACTAATTATGCAACTGAAAAGATAAATTCCATATATACCTGAATCATTGTAGGTTATAACTTAATGGGTCTGGAATTTATAAGGTTTTATTTTTTACTTAAATTTTTTTATAAAAAATTGTGTGTTTGTACATCATTTTAGAGTTAGCAGAAATCAGATGGAACACTTGTATTGTCTAGGGTAGCATTCTACATTCACCATACAGGGCATATGGCAGGTATCAAACACAAATACATACCTCTAGAGTATATGCCTTACAAAACCTGGTGGAATGCATGTAAAGGTGACTATGATATATGGGTTTCTTTACATCTATCCTTATTTTATCTTTTAAAAAAGCTTAAATTATTTTCAAGCAATGCTATTTAATCATTTTTGGTAAATAAAATCATTTGCAGCCTCACAATTCATAGCCATAAATTGCTGAGAAAAATTATCCAGTATTATTGAAAAAAATATATAATCTTAGCAGTTTTATTTTAGTTCCAACCACAAAGGTTAAATTTCCCTTTCACATTCACTCCTGTGGATCTCTAGAAACAGTGTAGTGGTAGAGATTGCAGCTTTGAGGTCAGACTGCTGTGGTGGAATGTTTGCAGAGAGGACATGTTATAGATAACCTGTAGTTGCAGTTGCAAAACCAGACATGGTATATAGATAACCTGTAGTTGCAGTTTCAAAACCAGGTCAAGCCAAAAGAATAACCGAGGCTGCTTGTCACATAGAGACTCCCGAATTTCAGTGCAGAGACCCAGTGATTTGTAGTTTCCCCACACAACCCAGCTGATCAGGGCAGTTGGAAAACCTCGTGTTTAATACAGTCTCAATTGGCAGAGTAGCTAAGCTCAATTGAAACCTTCTGTGGAGACTCAGACAGTAAAGAATCTGCCTGCAATGCAGGAGCCGCAGGAGACGTGGGTTTGATCCTGGGTTGGGAAGATCCCCTGGAGAAGGGCATGGCAACCCACTCTAGTATGCTTGCTTGGAGAATTCCAGGGACACAGGAGTCTGCCCGGCTATAGTCCATAGGGTCGCAAGGAGTCAGGCACGACTGAAGCGACTTAGCACACATACAGTGTGTAGTTGATACATAGTTGATACTCTAGTGGGTGCTGGAGAGGCATGGGTAAGCACAGGAGTCCTGCCTAGTTATATGTTACTGTTTAATCACTTGTATGTTAACTGCCATAAAAATAGAATAGAGGCTTATCAAAGTGCATTAAACATCAAATTAAAAAAGAAAAAAAATTCTTGCTTGAAGTGTCTGTGCTGTAATAGGGTTACAACTTCTTGGAAAGTGTTGCTTGCCTTTGATTATAGTGTAGAGGCACTGTCTCACTTTCAGCTGCTATAACAGAATACCATAGACTGGGTGGTTTATCAACAGAAATTTAGCAGGGTACTGGTAGTTTCCATGTCTGGTGAAAGCTCACTTCCTGGTTCACAAATGGACATTTTCTGGCTGTGTCTTCATTTGGCAGAAGAGGCAAGGGAACACTCAGGGGTCTCTTGTATAGGGTCACTAATCCCATCCACTAGGGGTCCACTCCGCAGGCTGAATCACTTTCCCAAAGCCTCCACTTCCAAATACCATTCCATTGGAAATTAACTTTCAACATAAAAAGTTTTGGGGGGACACAAGCATTTAGTCTACAGCCTGCACCTTGATATATCACACTCAAGCCAGGGACTCAATACGAATCCATCTCAGAATTAGAATCAGAATACATAGTATATTGTGTCTTATATGTGTTCTCTGCGAGAAAAAAAAAATTTTTTGCTGGTTTTTAGGATATTATGGCGTATTCATGACGCAGTTTCACTTCATTCATAGCTCTTCCAGTAACTGTTTTTTTTTTTTTTATCATTTCACTTTATTCTACTGTTATTTCATCTCTTTTTGTAATATATCAGTGGTTTGATGTGGTCTTTACAACCTAATTTAAAATTACTGTAAGATTTTGTGGTTATGGGAGATAATTTTATTGATGTATTTTATAGCTAATTATATATTGACACAATCTAGTATCATATTTAGGCTAATTTTGAAATGTAATTGCTAGGATATCCAAGGTGATTGGCTGTTGCCTAAAGCTATCATTTTTGAAATACAGCTTTTACTTGCTAATTACTACCACTGCTGCTGCTCTTTAGTCACTAAGTTGTGTCTGACGATCTGTGACCCCATGGACTGCAGCCCATCAGGCTCCTCTGTCCATGGGATTTCCGAGGCAAGAAGACTGGAGTGGGTTCTCTGGGGGATCTTCCCAACCCAGGGGTTGAACCCACATATCATGCACTGGCAGGTGGGTTCTTCACCTCTGAGCCACCAGGGAAGCCCTGCTGATTACTACAGCCTTCTTTAATTTGTGGATAAATTATTTTCCATTCTTTCTGTGGAGAAATTGACTTGGAAGCATTTATTAAAGAAATAAGACAATAAAATGTCCCACAGTAGTCTTTGAAGATAAGATGATAAAAGATCACAAGGCAGTTCAGAAGGTGGTCACACACTTATTTCCATCAATTAATATGACTAATTGACTTTCTCACTTCTTAACAAGTTTGACAATTTTAAGGATGGTGTAGTCATGAAATGCTTTACTTTCTTTTAATTTGAACCTTCTAGGAGGCCTGATGATGTTCAGTTTCCCTTTGGAAACTTAACTTCTGTTTACAGTAACTAGTTTATGATCTACTGGCTTTCATTTCAAAAAAAAAAAAAAAAGAGAGAAACCATAAAAAATACAATAGATGTTGAATCAAATTTTAATGTCATTTTCTTTTGTAAAGGTTGAACTCATGATCGGAAATTGTTTTCTTAGTGACACTTTTTTTAAAATCATTTGTGGGTTATAAACAATTATGAATAAAATTAATAAGAAATTACTATTGCCCATAATTCTTTTTGATTTCTGTACTTTTTGTGTTTGATCCTAGGAAATACCTATCTATAAAACGTATGTGTTGTGCATGATGCCCGCCTTCCACCATCATTTTCCTGGAAAAGCACAGTTGGGTTTAGTAGGCTGATCATTTAGATCCTTAGGTTAGTTTTGCTGCATTGAGCTCATTTACTGTGTGGAGCAGATGGATGAACAATTTTAATATGAATACTGAACCTTTTCATCCTTTACTTCTGCTTTTGTTACAGAAACCCTCGAAACTCTCATCAGACAAGCAGAAAATTACACCAGCATACTTTTCTGCAACACCTACAGGAACATGGCCCTAGAGGCCGCTGCTTCCACCCAGGAGCTCTTCACCGATGTAGGGCTCTATTTATTTGGTGCGGATGTTAATCCTGAAGAATTTGTAAACAGATTCTTTGACAGTCTTTTCCCGCTGGTCTATAATCATCTCATTAACCCTGGTGTGACTGAGAGTTCCCTGGAATACTCAGAATGTATTCGGACGGCCCGCCGGGACATTAGCCCATTTGGTAATATTCCCAAAAGAGTACTGGGACAGATGGGGCGGTCGCTGCTGCCCAGTCGCACGTTTCTGCAGGCGCTGAACCTGGGCATTGAAGTCATCAATACCACAGACCATCTGCACTTCTCCAAAGAATGTGGAAGAGCCCTGCTGAGGATGCAGTACTGTCCACACTGCCAAGGCCTGGCTCTCACTAAGCCTTGCATGGGGTACTGCCTCAACGTCGTGAGAGGCTGCTTGGCACATGTGGCAGAGCTTAACCCACACTGGCATGTGTACATCCGGTCACTGGAAGAGCTGTCGGATGCCATGCGTGGGACCTATGACATTGAACACGTGCTTCTGAACTTCCACTTGCTCGTTAATGATGCTGTGATGCAGGCTCACCTTAATGGACAGAAGTTATCAGAACAGGTAAGCATCCACTCAAAATTTCCTGCCTTCTTAGAGTTCAACAGTTAGCTATATACATAAAGTGTGTTGATTATAAGCACATCATTATATACTTTAAATTATGACAGCTTAACAATACTTTAGGAAACAGTAGGAGAATGCATGGGTTGTCATATTGTCATATTCAATTCTAAATATATTTTACATGACACATCAAAATTTTGGTTAGCTAAAATACCAGTTTCTCCTCTAAGTAGTGGCCTTCTTATAGGGTTAGTTCAGTGAGGTAAAGAGGGCTTGGTTTTAAAATCAGGACCAGCATAAATTTGATTCTGCACTCTTCCATTAATTCTCAAGTCCCTTAGCTTCTTTGAGCCTCAGTTTTCTCACTGACAAGAAGAAAATAGTAACAGATAACTTTTGGAGTATTCTTTTTGGGGAAGATAGGCAATCATTTAGGCATACTGCCTAGTATACCGCCTGGTACTCTAAAAATGGATATTATTGGTATTTCAAAATTATTCAGCTTTGAAATAGAAAGCACCAGTTATATAGTCATTAAATGAAGACTTGTTATTAAAAGTGTTTCTTTGGAGACTTTCCAGAACCTGGGACAGTGATGGTGTGATGATTTTTTAAACCATGATGTATATTGCGTCATGGTGTTTTATTCCAGGAAAGCTTTAATAAGCAAAATAATCAAATCAAAGGACATAAGAGTTTCCTATTTCTCTCTCATTCTGTAGAAATATTCTCAGGCACCTTTAGTAATAGTTCTCATATCCCATACAGTGAAGTAGAACATGCTGCTGCTCTTTATCCTAGATATTTTGTCCTGAAATAAAATTATGCTCCTTCGCAATAACAGAATACATCTCCCCACCCTGGCCCTTATTTTCTGAATTAATAAACACTCTCATTATTGACTTTGTAGGTCTGTTCCTTTCATTAATTTCCAATAGAAATTGGATATGAAAACCTTGATGTCCAAGCATATACACCCCACTTCCTTCCTAACTTTCAAGGTCCTCCTGACACTGTATGGGCCAATGCGGTACCTTCATGAAAATTAGAAATGGTACCCTCTTTAGGTGGATGTGACTCGCAGGTAGAGTCACATGTGAGCTGGAGTTCACCTCGCACTCCTGATTCACTCACCTGGGTATCCTTACACAGCCAACAAGGTTCACAACCACATACAGTTGTCCTGGTTGTTTTGCAATCCCTCATCGCTTTAGGGAGATCATACATGTACCAGAACTTTTGCAACTTTGCCACCTCAAAATAAAAGACTTCTAAGATTTCATGTACTTCAGTTAATGAGGAATAAGCATGTAGGTCTAGGAAACAAAGTATCAATATTATGATATTGCATATCTCCAGAAGAAAAACAAGTACAGGAAATCTGAAATGAAGCCCAGATTTGAATTATTAATTTGGGACAAGCCATCTAAACTTTTGGGGCCAGATTTTTCTTATATATATAGATAGGTAGATAGATACACAGATTTTTAAGATTCTTTTTATTTTGTCTTTTGGAGCCTTGGACTGCCTTTTTGTATCCTTAAAATCTACCACATAGAAAATTATTGTATGTTATTATATATCTAATTTTTTTTTTCAATTTCAAAGGCTAAACTAACGTAAGTTTGTAGTTAGATAGACATGTTTTCAGAATTCCCTGGAGGCTCAGATGGTAAAGAATCTGCCTGTAATTCAAGAGACCTGGGTTCGATCCCTGGGTCGGAAGATCCTCTGGAGAAGGGAATAGCGACCCACTCCAGTATTCTTGCCTGGAGAATTCCATGGACAGAGGAGCCTGGAGTGCTATAGACCATGGGATCATGAAGAGTCAAACACAACCTGTTTTCAAATCCTGAGTTTGCTACTCATTATTCATGTGGCCTGAACAAGTTCCTAAAACCTTCTGAGTCTGTTTCATCCTGCGTAAAGAAGGAAATGATGGTTTAAGTGCAATAGGACATGGCTCTGACATTGGCAGCTACTTGGTCCCTGAGAAATTTGCTTTTCTCTTTTCCAATTCTGGGGCCAACTCTGATCAAACCTTGGTGAAGCAGGTTACATTACTATCTTAAAGGATTAGAATCATCATCAAACTTGTGTTCTATAAATACATTTTAAGCAACACTTTTGTTATATGAAACCCTTTGGTGGATTTTCAAAGAGCATTCTTTTCTTTTAAGCAATTAATTCTATTTTCATATAATAAAGGGTCCTATAACTATCTTGAAAAACATCAGTTATTACTAATGAATTGTAGATTCTTTTCCAAATAGAACAACTGAGATTCTTTTTTTAACTTACGGTGACAGAAGGAGAAACTGACTTTAAATTCCTTGAAAATTGACTCATTAATATTTATTTCTGCCAACTTCAAAGTGATTTATAAGCTGTTTATCAAGTTTTGATAACCAGTTCACACATCAGTGAATTTAATAAATTCAAAATAAATTACTGGTGAGCCAGAAAATAATGACTTTCTCACATTCCCAGAGCAATCTCTGAGATCTAGTACTTTCAAATGTTGTCCTCAGTAAATACTTGTATCCATCCACTTTAAGAAATCTGTAGGGGTACCTGATGCATCTTACTTCCGTTGGATGAATTTCAACTGGAAAAAAATTATTGGTTTCCTGAGGAAATCATAAATATCTTCTATTTATAAAACCATTAAAGGAGCAAAATCTAATTTATAAGAGAATGTTTTAATTTTGTAATTGTCTGGGGATTAAGACAGAAGTCTAATAAAGTATTAACAGAGAGCCATCGAAGTATGGAGATTAAAAGTACAAGACCTAATCTTTGAGTACATTTCCCATCTGTTCCTACCATTTACTAGCTGAGTTTGGGAACTTGATTATTTAATCTTGAGTTTCCTCTTTGGTAAAAAGTGAAGTCGCTCACTCGTGTCCGACTCTTTGCGACCCCATGGACTAGCCTACCAGGTTCCTTCGTCCATGGGATTTTCCAGGCAAGAATACTGAAGTGGGTTGCCATTTCCTTCTCCAGGAGATCTTCCCGACCCAGGGATTGAAGCCGGGCCTCCCGCACTGTAGGCAGACGCTTTACCTTCTGAGCCACCAGGGAAGCTCTCTTTGATAAAATGGGACAATAACTACCTACATCACAGGGTTCTTTAGAGATTAAAATGAGTTTAGGTTTTCTACGTGGTAACTGTTTAAAGCTTACTAATTATTATTATGTTATATTCTTTATAAATGTATTATTTATTTCTCTGATGTTTTGAATGCTTTTAAGGTGAACACCTCTTTCTTAAACTGTGATATAGAATTCAAAAAATGTTTTAAATGGGCATTTAATGTAAGCAGATAATTGTAAAGATTTTCCTGAAGGAAAAGAAAAACCTAAAATTTTAGAGAGCATTATTTTGAAATCTACAATGAGTTTTACTATTGATGATTTTAACTGCTAATTCTTTGATAAAAATAATTTCGTTATGAAGAAATGGCTGAATGATGTTTTTTGGTAGGAAATTATTAAATGATTGCTTGATACTTGATAGGAAATCATGTATTTATTCTGTAAACAAAAACAGTATTTTTAAAGTATACTTCCTATTGATTAAATTTAGAACATTATTTATTACTATAATTGAGTGCTTTAATTTATTAAAGAAACAAGAATGCAGGATCTGGGCTAATTTCAATGTTTCAATATTTTCTAAATGGAATAAATGTTACCAAGAAACTCAACTGAATGTTTATTCTATACCATTTTAGAAATAAAAAGGTTTTTATTCAGCTTTATTGAAATACAGTTGACAAAATAAAATTCTTCTTTAAATATTTGAAAGAATTCAGTAGTGAAATCATCTAGTTATGGGCTTTGGTAAGAGGTTTTTTTTTTAAAATTATTGATTAAATCTCCTTATTCATTATTGGTGTTGTTCAAGTTTTCTATTTTTTCATGTCTTGGTCTTGGTAGGATCTTTATTTCTGGGAATTTATCCATTTCTTTCAATTCGTTGGCCTATAATTTTTCATAATAATCTCTTATGGTCCTTTCTATTTCTGTAGTGTCAGTTGTAATATCTCCTCTTTCATTTATAATTTCATTTACTTTAGTCTTCTCTCATTTTTTCCTTATTCTAGCTAAAGATTAGTCATTTTTTCTACTCTTTCAAAAATTAGCTCTTAATTTTGTTGATGTCTTCTTGTTTTTTTCTGGTTTCTATTTCATTTATTTCTGCTCTGATCTTTGTTATTCCCGTGTTCCTGGTAATATTTGGTTTAGTTTGTTCTTTATCTTGTTATTTGAGGTATAAAGTTAGGTTGTTTATTTTAGTTCTTTCTTTTTCCTTAACGTTGGTGTTTATCACTATAAACTTTCCTGCTTTTGCTGCATCTCATAAGTTTTGTTATGCTGTGTCCCCACAGCTGGGGGTTGAGGGTAGCCCTCTAGAATGTCTGGCACTGTGTTGAGTGTGGAGTTTATAGCAAGTGTGTGTCTCAACCTGTGCTACCTGTTTCCATGTGGGTAATTTTTCATTTGCTTGATGTGTAATAGTTACTGAGGTAGTTTCTAAAATAGCTGTATGTAGTTGCACATTTCTGTGTTTCTGTGGGAAGAGGGACCTTCCTAGGGAAACTAGGAGTCTCCTATGTCATTATCATGGGAATTGCTGCCACAAAAAGTGTGTGTTTTTAAGCCTGCACTGGGTTCCAAAACATAATTTTTAACAATAGAACTCCCACTCTGTATTTTTAAATAGAAAACCAGTTTTCCACATCTTTTACCTTTGCACCATTAGTAGAGTTTCAGCTGGTTGCATCCAAATTACTTCATGATGGTTCCATACTTCAGTTTTAAAACCTATCAAAATTGAGTTTAAGTGTCTGCATTGTACACACTAATGCACTCTAATTAAACTATGTTTTAGAGAAAAGGGATATCTGATCACTGCTTCTCTATACATCTACACTTATCTGAATCCATAAAATGAAAGCCTAATAAGTTGATATGTGTTTTTAGGTCTCATT